TTCTAGCTAGTTAGAACCTCCTCACGTTTCAAAAGTAAAAGAAAATTTCATAAATTATAGTAATAATGTTTTGGTTTTTTACAGCACTTTTTTGGACACTCAAAGACGCTTCACATGTCTTTATTTATTCACTCCAAACACAGTGGTGATAAACTACTACTGTAGCCACAGCTGCCCTGGGGCACACTGACAGAAGCAAGGCAACCAGTCTGTGCCATCTGCCCCCACCCATTCACACACACCAGACTCATTCTAAGGTAGATGAAATGTCTTGCCTAAGGACACAATAACAGTTTGGCACTTTACAGCCACCCCATTGACACCTGGAAGTCTCCCATCAGTGTACTAACCAGACCCTGTACTGCTTAGCTTCAAAGGTTTGACAGCATCTGGCTTTCACCTGCAGGTAAATAAGGTAATAAAAAGTCTATCTTATCTTATCTTATCTTTTTATGAAGCCATAAATAAGTTACAAAAATAAAGGCAGACCAGCTAACTCTAACTGGTAAAAGCAAACAAAGAGACGAGGATTCTTCCCCTGACGCCTCAGCAGTCTGGAGCAGTTTTAAGGTAATTAGACATTGTGCGGTTTTAGTCTCTGTGGTTTTAACAAACAGACTGTAACAACGCTGCAAAAGACGTCCAGAATCTGCCTCTTAGTCTCTACTACTAAAAAAAGTGGTGAAAATAATATTAAATTAAAATTAATAATAATAATAATAATAATAAAAATAATAATAATGATAATAATAACAATAATTGTTGGATATGCATTTTCATTTATTCAATTCAATTTCATGTTCTTCTGTATTGCCCTAAATCACTACAGTTTTTTTTTACAAAGCTGTTGATTCGCCAACACAGATCAGAGAATAAATCAGTTCAAACACAATGATAAAAAACACATAGAGGTCCATAAGGGGCAGAGACCAATGTCTATAATTGTTGTTTAATGTCAAGTGTCCTGGATCATCTCCACTGTCCTTACAAAATGAAATGACTTCGTGTATCAATAATCAGCTCATCTCAACCTCCTCGTTCACATAATGGATAATGAATTGGCCTTAATTCTTGGGTTTCACATGACGTCAGGGCAGTGGCGCGAATAACAGACGTAGGACAGGACGTGACGTATCCTGGCACTGCAGTCTGCCGGGTAAATACACAGGGATATAGTAGAAGAAGAAGCGCTGCCAAAATGCCATCTTTTTGTGCGGTGTACGCTTGTAGCAACTGCGCAAAAAGAGAGAAAGACAAGAGTTTCTTCCGTGTTCCAACTGTGGTCTCATATAAAGGAGTAAACATTGAAAAAATCACTCAAATGAGGCGGGCGAGGTGGATCAAGGCTTTCCCAGATATGCGCCCCCTGCAGGCCACCCAAATGAAACGCAGCAATTTCTTCTGTTTTTCTTTCCAAAAATACTCCCTTAGAATTGAGTGTCCCCCTCCCAATTTAGACTGTTACAACAACCGTGCACCGCACAGGATGAGGGCCTTTTGACTCCAAAACAGACACGATTTACATGAATTTTCAATGGGAGCAAAACTGAGTTGACCCACCTCTGCTCATTCGCCCTCTACTGGGCAGTTTAATGAAACCCAATAATAGTCCCTGAGGGCTGACAGTTGTATCAACACCACTTTATTAAGACAGCGAGGATCAGAGGCTGAACCAAACTGAACTTCACAAACTTATCCTACAACAATACTGCACTTTAGATTTACTGAAGTGCAACTATGGAATGATGAGCCGTTCTCTATTTTGATGTCCTGTTACCAACAGTTTTTCTCTGGTTCTAGAGGTCTCTGACCTGCATCTTTAGGACCGTTTTCACGGCCTCGACTCTCCCTGGCTTGCAAGCCTTTCTACCGGCTCGCTTTAACCGCTACCCCATACTTTTTTTGTAATAGTTTGGCCCTATAGAAATCAATTCCTCAGTTGCTGGATGAGGTCAACACCTTCCTCGGTTTGCTCGGAGTGGTCAAACTCCAGCAAGAGCTCAATGCTGCCACCGAAACCAGAAGGTGTTTGCGGAGGTAGCGTAGCACTGTGGATATCGTCGGAGTGCAGATAAAAAGTAAACAAGCTTAAAAGGGGCTGCGGCGAAATTAAAGACCAGAACAGCAAAAGTGGATGAAACTGAAAAGCCTGGAGGTGGTTGGACCAAATGGATGCACTTTACGGACATCGGTTAACACCAGCTAACACCAAATAGCACCAGGAGAGATGCCTCGACTCTACCACTTCCTAGCTCCCAAATGTTGAGTTTGAGAGGAATGGTAAGTGTCTTCAATCTCAGCGAACGTGTGTCTGTGTGTTGTTTCGGAAGTCTATGAGTCGTGTTGAGTTGAGTCGTGTCGAGTCGAGTGATGCCAGTGGAAACGAAGCTCAAGTCTACTGTGGCGTATGTGGTGTCTGTGTAAAGCATGTGAACCCCGAGCCCCCCACACACATTTCTGTTCTGGGAGACGATAAAGGAGTATTTTATCTTATCTTAACCAGAGCTGAGGCAAGGCAAGGCAAGGCAAGGCAAGTTTATTTGTATAGCACAATTCATACACAAGGCAATTCAAAGTGCTGAACACTGAGGTGGCTGAGTGTGAGTCAGGGCTCTCTGGGGTCCGCAGTCTGTGCATGTACGAATATGAACCATATTATTTTGAAGATTGCAGTGGAAAATATTAGAGGTATTTGCTGTTACGTAGGTGCGGGATCTTCTCCGCAGCCCCTGTCCTCACTGAGTCACGTTAGCTATAATTAGACTTTCTGCTGGAGTAAGCTTCAGTATATTATGAGGCCAACATTTGCATTCCGTGTTACTCAATGAACCAATGTGTAAATTGGCAAACTCAAACATTGTATTCAACTCAATCCTCATCAAAGAGTTTTATTTTTCACTGAAGAATGACATTGTCTCTGTCTCATGTACAAGTCATGGTTGGGGCGCCTCCTAAACCAAATTCATTCTCCCTAACTTCACTACCAACTTCCCAAAGATAACATTAGTGCCTTCATGATAGCACACAACACTCATCAAAATACAAGGTACACTCCAGATGAGCATGGTAAAATAAACCAGTAAAAAAACATATTTCAATAGCTTCAACATTTGTCTCAACAGTACATAACAAGGCAGTCATTTTAAAAGTTGTATCGTTTATTCCACGATTCTAAAGTCCAGTTACAGAGGAACGACGATACTGTATAGGTGAGAAATCCACTTGCAGATTGAACAGGCCATATCAAATGACTTATTGATGGAGCCTCTAAAGAAAATAGACATTAAACAGTTTGACGAATGGTTGGTTAACGAGCGCAAGCCTCATTGCCAATGTTTACACGAGAGAAATGACACATGTGTCAGCAGCCAATGACCTGTGGCTCCTGATCACAGCTGCTACACACACACACACAATTCAAAAGAGCTTGAAAAATCTCTTTCACCTACCACTAAAACATGTCCAATAGGTCTGAACGTAAGGAGTGACTGAATGGATGGTGTTTGGTCAGAGGCTTTGATGCTCTAGTGTGTTCAGCGTGTTTGCTTCTGTCATTACAGTGTGGAAAGAATGGGGGAAATATGTATTTCCCCCAGTTCTATGAATATGTAGCCATGTGTTTTTGCCATCAGGTGGATGTGCTACAGTGATTATTTCACACCGACAATACACACAGATAACTTTGGCCTTGTCAGTTGATCCATCTGGCAAAATTTTTAAACGAAACTATTCGTTATTAACAATAATTTCGACATTTTGCGCTTGACAAACCAGTCTCTTTTAGAGCGATGCAACAGGGCTTCACGGGGGGGCTCCAGTCCCTGTTTTTCTAACGCTACTGACAGTGGCCACAGCTAAATCGTGTGAAAAGAAAATGATAGCGTTAATATTGATTTCAACTAAAAATTGAACATTAAAAACATGAAGAAAATATTAAAGATAATATTCAACATGTTCAGTGTTCTGTTATGGAACAGCAATGATGAGTGTGAAATGCTCTGTGAAGGGAATTAAACGCTCATGTATCGTCGACCTGAAACAAGTCGACTCGTGCAACTTGTGAGACTTGTGAGACTTGTGTGACTCATGTTAGGGCCTAATGAGCCTCGTCAGGGAACCGTTGCGGTGAGAAGTCTGAGGTAAAACTTTGCTTGAGAGAAGCCACGAGGAAGAAAATTTCAGAACACAGACTGAGCAGGCGCCATGACAGCAAGTTTTTCACTTTTCTATGTCAAAAGTCTGATCCAAAAATGTAACAGATTCTATGAATTATATAACTTTTCACTTTTCACATTACACTAAGAATAATGCATGGGTTTTTTACAGGACTTTCTGAACTCTCAAACACGCTCCACATGTCTTAATTCTTTCACTCTATACACAGCTATGATAAACTACTACTGTAGCCACAGCTGCCCTGGGGCACACTGACAGAAGCGAGGCAACCAGTTTGTGCCAACGGCCCCTCAAACCACCAGCAACAATTCACACACACACACCACACATTCTAATGTGGGTGAAGTGTCTTGCCAAAGGACACAACCACTAGCACTTTACAGCCAAAGCCGCCCCACTGTGGCACCTGGTGTTCCAAAAGGTCTCCCATCAGAGTACTAACAAGGCCCTGCCCTTCTTCGCTTCAGAGGTCTGACAGCTTTCACCCGCAGGTAATGCAACACATTAAAGAAGACTAAACCAAAAAATTCATCAACAAAAAACAGGATACATACCCAGTAATATACAATGTTTTGCGTGCTATTGCTCTATACTTTCTCTTGTTCTGTTGATTCACCAGTTCCACACACTTTGGTTCGAAGACCAACAACCAGAAAAACATCCTGCAAAATGGAGTTTTCATCAGAGGGGAAAAATAAAGAGCCTCCAGTTTGATTGAACAGAGTGGTGAGGACGCAGGGACACCTTTAGAGTCTGCTTCGGGTTTTTACACTTTTTATATTCTAATAATTTATGACATGCAACAAGATTCTGCATGGGTGGAATCAGAGGATGCAGAAAGATGGTGCATGCAAACCAGGAGCTCCACCGGTCTATAAGGGAAAAACAGGGAGTAGGAAATGCCATTGTATACACTAGAGATGCATTTGATACACTACTATCCTTTTTATTAGGGATGAAATGTATATTGCAGTTGTATCAATATCGAGACATAGACAATACAATAAAGTTTTTCCAGTAAAATGCCACTAGATTTCGACTAAAACACACTGTTATCAACCACACAAACACACTATAGATATTTGCAGTTACTCACAAGAAAACGCAGACCAAAAAGCCCCATTTGCTGCTCTCCTAAATTCAGAACAGGAAACACAGCCAGCGGCCAAATGTATTAAAACACAAACATACTAATTCAGTTTAATTCAATCGTCTGAATATGCATCGGCATGTATTTCTGTTTGCCTTAAGTCTAAGTGTAGCGAAATAAAGGCAAAGCAGGAACAAAAAGAAGAATGAGATAAAAATGCAAACAGGTGTTATAGGTTTGTATTTCTCTAGCAAAACCATTCCCAGGAGTGAGTTTGTACACAGCAAAAAATGAAATGAGGAAATAAATATTTGAATAGTGTTTTTAATCTTAATCTGGGTATGTGTTAAAACAAGATTTACCAATGGGACAAAGCCGTTTAGTCTTATTTGATGCTTTATTTTCTCATTCCAAGGGAGGCTTTTTGAAACGATATCATTTTGCTTTGGCCCATTGGCAAATCTTTTCAAATGTGCTCAAATGAAGATGCATTTTGCCAAGTGTATGGGTTTTTTTGCGTGAACATTCCCATATTTATGAATACACAAATGCACACATACACTTAAACACACACACATACACAGGCCTGGAAGAGTGCATGCCACCACAGACACGAAGTTTGTAGTGTGTGTGTAGTAAAACAAAATCTCGATTTGACACATTCCCTTGCACACATACACATACACACGCACACGCTGACCTGGAAGAGGCGCAGAATGTTGGCCACCATGATCGACACGGAGCTGGCAGAGGCTCCCACCACCCCCACAACTTTCTCCGGTTTGACAAACAGCGGTGGCTCTCCGTTCGTGCACCTCACATCCGAAGTGTCCTTCTGGATCAGCGCCTGGACAAAAGTCAGCGACTGTTCGAGCGCGTACGTGTCTCTGGAGCAAGTGTCCAGGATGCGCGCTCCCAAGGTGATGTTGGGCAGCAGATCCTGGTCCCCGTTGATCTGATCCAGCGCGTACATCATCGCTTCCAGTCTGTGAATTCCGTTTTCCTTCTTGATGTCGCCACAAGGAATCCCTGGGACCCCCCTGGCGTGGACCGGGAAGAGCCCCCCCAGCGTCACGTCTCCCTCCACGCGGATCGAGTGCGGCGCGTAAATCTCTTGGGATCCGGCCGCATCCAGGATCGCGTAAAGCACCCACAGGACTTTGAACGTGAAGCCAAGTCTGAGTTTAAGACGTGTGCTTGTACCACAACACCCAGCCATGTCTTCTTCGTCTTGTAAATCCACCTTTTATGCTGTGATAGTATCTCAAATCTCAAAGCACTTCTCAGCACAGTTTAATATTCCAAAAAAACATCGCTGATCCGGGTAATCACGCAGAACCATAAACGCAGGTGCCAAATACATGAGAAGACTGGTTTTATTCCCTATACATCACATCCAGGGCATCCTTTTGTGAGAGCTGCGGACTAAGCAACTCGTAGCCACAGTCGCTTGTTGCTTTGGCTCCCATTCTTTTTGAACAGGGGACAAAATTACGATGTATTAAAAAAAAATAGTAGAAACGTGACGCAAAGACAAAAGGAATGCAGGTTTACGAAACCGTCAGATTGATAGTAAATCCACGCTGTTAATCCGTATTCTGAGGTGTGAGAAAAAGCAGTGGAGGCTGGATGCAGTTGCCATACTTTTACTTCAGCGTGCGCCCTGTACTACAAAGGAGTCTACTATAGAATGCAAGCAGTGGGAGAAGAGAAAAAAAAAGCCTGCGCTCCAAATACCAGCGCTCTCATCAAAACCAATCCATCACTGACGCGCTCCTCATCCTCTCGTTTCTCTCTCCACACAGAATATTATCCATTCTGTGTCTCAAAGTGGTCACCTGCCTGCGGTTGGAGGAGGCATGTGGGGAAAGTGTCTGGATTCCACACGATGCGCGCTCTCTCTCTCCCCCTCTTTCTTTCTTTCTCTCTCTCTCTCTTTAGCGCGCTCTGCAACTCATATGATCACGAACACACTCCACCCACACTCGAGTAATTGTCTGTGAATCTGCCACAACATTACGCGCCGTGAAAGGCAACCTGTCTTGTTTAGATTTGTGGGTAATAATGATCAGTGACGTTTACGACGGTGATAAAATCCAGTGATTACGCAGAGAAACAATGCGTGGAACTACATGGAGCACGATTCTCTGTCTGTGGAAGGAATGCGTTTATATTTCTATACTTTTCTATTTTTCTTTACAAAACTGTTTTTTTTTTTTCTAGTGATTACATGTTGATACAGCTTCAGTGATAAAAAGATCCACCTTCACTGTGGGAAGGAGAGGTTCAGCTGGTCTTTTCTTCCTGCTGGTGTCAGACTGTACAATGAGAACTGATGAGTCTGCACATAGAAAATAGTGCAATCATGTGCAATACTGCAATTTCAGAATGTCCACTGAATGTCACGTTATCTACATTCTGTCAGATATGTGAATAATTTAAATGATAGATAGAGGGAGAGAAAGAGTAGATACTGTATATAGTTACTTTTTGCTCATATCATGAAAACACATTGTCAATTCCTTTGTTTCAAGGGTTCTGTGTGAGGTTTGCATGTTCTCCCCATGTTTGCTCCATGTTGCTCTGCTTTCTCTTACCAATAAAATTATGCATGATAGGAATGGTTGTTGACACTTCACTTGTTTTATTCCTTTACTGTTTCATTCACATTTACTTATCTGGTGCACACTGGGGACTTTTGCAGTTATTCCAATGTGGTTCCACTGCAAATGGCAAATAAACTGAATCTGAACCTGTAAATTTGCACATTTTGAAGTGTTTTGTGTGATCATGGTTTGTGAAATGTGCTATATAAAAAAAGTAACTAACCTGCAGCTCATTTGTATCTGGATGTACAATACAGACCAAAAGTCTGTACAAACCTTCTCATTCAAAGAGTTTTTTTATTTTCATAATTATGAAAATTGTAGATTCACACTGAAGGCATCAAAACTATGAATTAACTTACATACTAAAATTATGTACATACTAAAAAAAAGTATGAAACAACTGAAAATATGTCTTATATTCAAGGTTCTTAAAGTAACCAGTAGCTTTTGCTCTGATTACTGCTTCACACACCCTTGGCATTCTCTTGATGAGCTTCAAGAGGACTTTAGCACTTGTTGACCCTTTCCTCTTCATTCTGTGTCCAGCCCCAAAACCATCTGGATTGGGTTCCGTGGAGGCCAGGTCATCTGGCCCAGCACCCAACACTCTCCTTATTGGTCAAATAGCCCTTACACAGCCTGGGGGTGAATCTACAGTCAATAGTCATGAAAAGAAAGGAAACTCAATGAATGAGAAAGTGTGTCCAGACTTATGGTCTGTACTGTAGATGTTTCTGATCAGTCAAAGCTTCTAATGTCCTAACGGCTAATGGCTTCTAATGTACTTTTCTCACCTGATATCAATCAATTAATAAATATTAATTTATAGAGCAGTTTTCCTACACAGGGCAACACAAACCGCCTCACAGTCCACTCCACACAAGGCACAAATCCTCATATAGGACAAAAACTGTCTCCCCATGTCTCGTTCTGACTCTTCTTCTTGGTCCCTTTATCTCTGAAGTTTTAGCTAAAGACATTTATGGACATTGGTTGACTTCTGCTTATGGACCTATGGTTCTATGTGTTTTTATTGTTGCATCTCCTGTGCATTTCTGTGTTTGAACTGGTTGATTCTCTGATGTGTGTTGGCAAATCGACAGCTTTGTAAAAGTCCTGCTACTGTTGTGATTTGGGGCAATACAAACAATCATTGAATTTAATTTAATTAAAGCAGTTTCATTTAGACCAATACAAAAACAATTAAAGGACTTGAATATCATGCATATGGTTCTGACTGATGAATATTTCTTGTGTCTTGTTTGACTCATACCTCTTTGTTCTGGAGCACAGGGCTTGTCTCCTCCTATATCCCCCTGTGTCTTTCTGTCTCCTTGTGTCTCCTTCTCCCTCCTCTTTCACACACATCTAAACCATCCGAGCGTCCGCTGTGGTTTGCTAAAAGGTTTACTATTGTGCTGTATAATGGTATAATATGCATGCGTGTTCTCCATGATATTTAGAATTAATAGCAATTTTATTTACAACTTCTAAAGGAGTACCTCTCTGCCATTTCTGCTTTATAAAAGTAGCTCTCCAATTGAGAAAGGAGAAAGACCTCTGACTTATCTATTCATCCATTTTCAGACGCTGACCCTCAGCGTGCTTTGCCTTTTGGCTCAGCTCCCTCTTTACAACCGCCACACGCTGAGGAGTGTGATCTCGAGATAATTGGAACACACCCTCCGGTCCCCTTCTTGTAGAGAGGGACCACCATGCTGCAGAGACGTGTCAGCCAAGACAGTCCTACATTATCCAGAGACTTTAGATAGTCAGAACGGAGCTCATCCACACCCAGAGCCTTGACACCAACAAGGCTGCCAAAATCCATGGTGTCTTCAGCCAGGGAGATAGAAGTATCTGCCCCAGCATTCTCAGCCTATTACTCCGGGATGAAGGACATGACAGGGGGATAGAGGAGAACCTCAAAGTATTCCTTCCCTCGCCCGACAATATCCCCAGTTGAGGTCAGCAGCTCTCCACTCACACCTTAAACAGGGCTGGCAAAGCACTGCTTCCCCCTCCTGAGGCGCCGGACAGTTTGCCAGAATCTCTACGAGGCCGATCGATAGTCATCCTCCATTGATTCTACGAACCCCTCCCAGTATCGCATTTTAGCCACTGAAACAGCTTGGGCAGCTGAACGCCTGGCCTGCTGGTACTGAACAGCTGCCTCAGGAGTCCCATAAAGCATCATAGCTCAATAGTACTCTTTCTTCAGCCCGATGGCAAGTGTCACTAGGGTTTACCCCCAGGAGAATAACGGAGTCCCGGTTGGTGCACCATCCAGGACTCAAAGAAGGCCTACAGAGGACGCAACCCTCTCATTCACCGGGGAGAACTCCAACACGTGGCGGCTGAGATGGGGGGCAATGAGTTTGGCCTCCCCCGCTTGGCGCCTCTCCTAGTGAGAAACACCAGAAAAGTGGAGTGTCCAACCACTCTCGAGGAGTTGGGTTCCAGAGTCCTGTGTGTGAGTCGGTATCTCTCAAACCTTCCCCACGAGCTCAGGCTCTTGCCCCCCAGTGATGTAACGCTCCATGTCCCAAAAGCCAGATGTTGTGTGCGTGGACTGTCTTTTCTGCACCTTTCCCCCATGGCTTCCTCTGAGGGCTGGCTCACATCGTCCTTTCGGGTGGAGCCCGACCGGGCCCTGTGGGCACAGGCCTGGCCACCAGGCAATCACTTACAAGCTCCAACCCCAGGCCTGGCTCCAGGGTGGCCCCAACTGGCCATGCAGGACGACATCACAGATTGTATTATTGTATCCTTGACTCAGAGGTGGGACAAAGTCATTGTTTGGTATGTCACACGTTAGTCTCAATTCATTTTTATTTATTTATTTATTTGATAGGGACAATGTACATTAAAGAACATCAGTATAAAACAAATGTAGATAAGCTAGTTTTCATCTGTTGTCCCTATCCCCATTGCCCTCAAGTCCCAAGTCAAGTCCTGAGTCAAGACCGGCAAGTACAAAGTCAAGACAGGAAAGTCCCAAGTCAAAATTTCCAAGTTCAAAAGTCCTATGGTTTGACTTTCGAGTCCTTTCAAGCCATCAGGAATAAAGTATAAACAAGTTTTTTGAGAATAGGCAAGGCAAGGAAAGGCAAGTTTATTTGTATAGCACAATTCATACACAAGGTAACTCAAAGTGCTGAACAAGATAGCATTAAAATATAAATAAATAATCACAGAACATTAAAAAGACAGATACAAATATAAAATCCCTCAGTTGTATGCACAGCTAAACAGAACTGTTTTTAACCTGGTTTTAAACATCCTGTCTCACATCCTGTCTCACATCTTCAGGAAGATTGTTCCAGATTTTAGCAGCATGAATCTGAAAAGCAGCCTCCCCATGTTTAGTTCTGACTCTGGGCACTAACAGGAGTCCAGTCCCTGTGCTCCTCAGAGTCCGGGCTGGTTCATATGGTACTAACATGTCACTAATATATTTTGGTGCGAGGCCATGGAGAGATTTGTGCACAAGCAGAGCTGTTTTAAAGTCTATTCTCTGAGCCACAGGAAGCCAGTGGAGAGACCTGAGGACCGGACTAAGGCTGAGTTTACACGGAGACAATGTGGCAGTAAAACGGTATAGTTGGAT